AATAAATCACGCATGAAGGATCTTGCCTTGATAGAATGGTTTACTGTGTTAACGTACAGCTGCACTTGCCCTATTAATTACATGAACCAGGCCCACCAGCACTCGTTGCTCAAAGAAAACATTCCTCCAACGGAGGATGCTCTTGAACAGCATGAAAAAAAAGAGCTGTTTACCAAAGATAAAACTGATGAAATCTCTCTCTCTTGTTCAAGAATTAACATAAAAATTGTCTTAGGACCTGCACAGAAGTTGTTTTTTGTAGGTTTGCCCAGGTTTGAATAAAATATATTAATAGCCGGTTTTTTCTGTAGATTTGTGAAACAAGAATAATATGAATAATAATAATATGATGAACAAATGGATGAATTTTGAATTTTGTCTAAGAATTCGAAAATCTTGTTTTTTTGCTATTATCAATATTTTATCCATTGAAATAGAGGGTCTTGAGTGTTGTTTAAAGAATAAGTCTGCTATTTAAGAATGTTTTTGTCCATATGTTCTATATTATGTTCCATATGTTATAATTATTATGAACTTCCTGGGTGATCCTTATTATGAACCACTAACATGGTTCATGATAACTGACATGAACAAACAGAGTTTAAGTGAAATTATTTAACTATACACTAAATCACTAAATAGATCATATCAACCAGGTTAATAACTGCATCAAAATTTAGTAATGTTTCATAGAAATTGATTTAAAAAACATTTAATACAGTTATATTTTAATTCCCCGAACATATATCTAGTTACTGCTATATGTTAAAGATTAATTTTCCTTAATAGGATCGAGATCATGCATTGCTCGTAAAAGTATGTTTAAATATGTGGAAGATGACTGATCCTAAATGAAACTACGTTTTTGAAATGTTAAATAATTCACCTTCTGTCTATTACTCTGTAATTGTTATTCCTAACCACCTCACTGTTCTATCCCGGTAATATTGTTGTAATACTGCAATTTGGAAACAGCAGTAATATTCAGTAGCAGAACAGGTGGTGTCTCATGTTATAGCATCACCTATACTTGAATGAGAATGACCAATCACAAGGTAGCACTAGTCATTCTGGGTAAATATGACGTTTTCTTCGAAGTAAGGAATGTTGGATTTAAACAACCTGGTTCACAATCTTGAAGAGTAAGCATTTTGAATGAATATCCAGCAAAAGTGATCACCTTTTATTTAAAAACGGCAAGTATATACATTTTATTTGTGAATTGATGAAGATTTTTCATTTTGTGCACTACCTTGTCCCCAGTCTTTTTCAGAATCAGTTATTCTAATATTTAGTATTATCTTGTAGTAAATATCCTAATCAAATCTCTTGTTATACTGTGGACCTATCTCATCGGTTTTCAGGGCCTGGCATGGCCAGGAGGATAGGGCGCTCGATTCACAATTTGCGGGTCGCGGGTTCGAATCCCCGTCCCACCAAACATGCTCGCCCTTTCAGCCGTAGATACTTATAATGTGACGGTTAATCCCACTATTCGTCGGTAAAAGAGTAGCCCAAGAGTTGGCGGTGGGTGGTGATGACTAACTGCCTTCCCTCTAGTCTTACACTGCTAAATTAGGGACGGCTAGCGCAGATAGCCCTCGTGTAGCTTTGCGCGAAATTCAAAAAACAAACAAACCCATCGATATTCAACTATTCAAACTCAACCTCAGTATACCACAACACCAGCTCAAGACACGTACACTGTAATCTTTATAATTTAATTAAACCTTTAAAGGAAAGTAACTCATACAGAAAAGTAATAATTCAAAAAACAAACAAACCCAGCGATATTCAACTATTCAAACTCAACCTCAGTATACCACAACACCAGCTCAAGATACGTACACTGTAATCTTTATAATTTAATTAAACCTTTAAAGGAAAGTAACTCATACAGAAAAGTAATAATTCAAAAAACAAACAAACCCAGCGATATTCAACTATTCAAA